ATCAATCAATAGAGCACGCCATGAATACAAAAAGCAAATTACGCAACTGCCGTTCTGGAATATGTTCACGGGCATGAGATCGGTATGATCTTGCCAAATGACAGCCACAACAACGAGTGTAATGATTTAATTAGAAAATATGGAGTATAAATAAAGAAATTTGCCATGAAGCCTAACTGCAAGCACTGACAGCGAGAATTTACATGCCACACGAAATTCAAACAGCTTATATAGAAGGCACAAAACTCAAAACACAAAATTAATATTTGTCGGAAAAATGGATGTATGTATGTACTCCCTCCGTTCCGAATTACTTGTCTTGAATTTGTCTAGATACGGATGTATCTAGACTCATTTTAGTGTAGATACCTCGGTATCTAGACAAATCTAAGACAAGTAATTCGGAACGGAGGGAGTATGTATCTAGATGTATTTCAGTTCGAGATACATCAATTTTTATCCATTTCTCTGACAAGTAGTTTCGGACGGAGGAGAGTATAAATAAAGAAATTTGTCATAAAGCGTAACTGCATGCACTGACAGCGGAAATTTGTGTGGTGAGGATATGCGAAATAGCGTTACATGCCACGCAGAATTCAAACAGCTTAGAAGACACAAAACTCAAAACACAAATATCGGAAGTACTAATCAACTTATATTTGACTGAGATATATAGTTCTGGATAGCTGCGCTCACTTGTTAAGTTTCCGGTTCAGAGGGATCGATCAGTTGACTCATACGTCCAGATTCCAAAGCTAACATTCATTAAACGATCGACCTCCAATGTCATAAGATTGATACCTCCATGCATATCCTAGCAGAGCATGGTAGCCATCCCTCGAACCAAATCAACCAGCAGGCCTAAGATACCAAGTGGAGCCGCTGATGGCAATCAAAGTTGAGGCGTATGGATTTGTGCTTGACCATCTGGATCCCACCATCAGCAATGTCACTAAGCCCCGCCTCCAACCCCGTCAACACAGCAAAATTCTCCCTTACCAAAGCAGGCTCGTCGTCATCATAGACGTCGTATAGCCTGGCAACGCAGAACCTGCCATAGTCCACGCGCACAAGGTAGGAGGTCACCACCTGCCACTTGTCAGGGTTAGCATCAAGCTCTTGTTTCCATTCGCAACACAGGGCGGGTACTGCACCATCCTCAGCAGTCGAGAGGTCTGAAGCACACACGTACTGGTTCTCTCGCACGGTGGAGAATCCAAGCCAGCGGCCCAGCTCAGGCACAAACTCAGCAGGGCCACGGAATGGGAGCTCCCAGCTGCCAACATAGCTCCACTCGTGGCTGTCCGTGTTGAAGGAGTAGGTGCCAATGCCACTGGCAGATATCCAGATTTTGTTGCGGACCACCGTGCAGGAGCGAATTTTGTAGGTGCAGCTAGGCTTGTACCCAGGAGCCTCCACATATGGTGGCGGTGGAAGAGTGTGCCAGTGCCATCCGGGATAATCAACAACAGGACCAGCAGGAGATTTGCCGTTGATAAGAGCTTGGAAGCAGGGTTGATAGGGAAGAATCTTATGAGGCTTGTCAGGTCGCCTCTCGATGAGGTATAGGGCATCACCTAGGTTAATCGGAAAAGAGTTCTCCATCAATCCCCTGAGCTTAGGCATGCTGCAGATCTGGTTCTGGCAGGTGTCGTAAACCAGGACGTTTCCTTGCTGGTCTGTGCTGAGTATCTTGTCCCTGTTGTAACCAAAGGGCATGAACTGCATGTCCCAATTAACTTGCATGGGAGTGGAAACACCAAGCGAAAATGCAGATTTGGGCAGCTCGGCTTCTTCCAGCTTTAGAAGCGACAGTGGGCATCCGTTCTGCTTCTTTGGTTGGAAGAGACTTGAAGATTTGATGCAGCGCACCGTGTAGGAGCGACTCTTGCAGGTTTCCAGAACCAGATTAACAAACTGGCGCTTCATCGTCAACCTCGACTGCGTCTCACTCGGGACTTCCTACTATTGTCGTATGGACCAGTAAGATTTGGCTGGCGCCCTGATTCTGAAAAGCAAAGGACATAATAATTATTTATCCTCCCCACGTCTCCTATTATTAAGAGTTAGGAGTGGATTAGATGTGTAGAAAAGAGTACCAGAACTGTGCAACTCCAGATCTAAGTACCCCTGCAGCAGGATGTAAAATATAAGGGAAAGTAACAACCATCGGGCTCCAAATTACCTACACTTGTCCAGATTAATACAGTTCTAAAGCGAGATCGCGTACACAGAAAGATTTTGCTCAAAGAAGAAACAAATCAGTGTATTACCATTCCACGAACCGGGCGGCGGAGATACTGTATTATCGAACAACGACAGGGCAGCCACAAGGCGAGTTGGAGAAGAGGTTTGCCTCGGGTAACAGGATGGATCGATCTAGACCGGTCTGGAGTAAGGGCGAGAGTTGCGGCGGCGGCGCAACAACCTAGATTCCTTTGTTTTATATCTATATCTATATCTATACCAATATAAAAAGACCTACAAAAATAGATCCAACTGATCTCGGCCATCGAACTAAGTCAATCCAACGACCTAGACTATTTCAATGGCGAACGTTAAACACGTTCAACGTGCAATTAATATTATACCAAATATTGCAATAATCACAAAATTAACATACAAATAATAGCATACCTCCCCTAAAAAAAATAGCATACCTAATATTCGCATGCAATTAGTATACGAAAAGACTCATACGCGGACGCGCATTTACCTAAATGTAGCGCATTTACTAGTAAAAAAGAAAAGATGCAGGGGCGAACTAGGGTTCTCTATTAATATCTCCAAACATGGGCCGGACATTCGAGCCGTCTATTGTTTTCGGCACTCATGGGCCGGCCCTCCGATCGTGCAGGTTGTAGCAGCATCTCACCTGGACCTCGTCTCAGCTGTACACCCTTGTCTCAAAAAAAAAAGCTGTACACCCGTGAACCATGCTACGCTTAGGTTGTGTTTTTTTTCTTTTTTTTGGGGGTGGTGGGGGGATACGCTTAGGTTGTGTTGATTGTATGATGTGCGTGCGCGTTAGGCCTTGCACAATAAATCGGGTTTTTCTGAAACACCGGTGCCTATTTCTACAAAAAAGACGCCCAATTAAACGTTTGTCCTGTACAAATAAGCACCGGTGCTTATGAAAAGCCTGATTTCTTTCTCCAAGCACCTCTCCTAAGCACCTTGCATTGTACAAGGCCTTACGATGCCGCCGCTCATCACCCATTCGATCTGAAGTTTCTCGCTAACCATTTTCCTGTGATGGCTCAACTTCCTAAACACCGCAGCCTACTGGGTTTTTGCTAGTTTTCCAAAAGTTCATGAAATTAAAAATAAAGGATCCTAAAGATATAGTGAAGTAAAAAAATCGAAACATAAAAAATCACAATTTTTCAAAAAATAAAAAGTCACGATTTTCAAAACAATCATAAATTTTAAAAAAATGCTCATGAATTCAAATATTCTTCATGAACTTGAAAAATTGTCATCATTTAAGAAATGATTGTAAGCAAAAAAAAAGTTTGTAAATTTGTTAATGGTTCACAAAATGTTTGTGAACTAAAAACATTTACAAATTCAAAAACAAATTGTGATTTGTTGAATTTTAAAATTGATGGACATTTTTAAATTCACAAATAATTTTGAAAGTTGCAAACATTTGGCAGAAAGTTCAGGAACACTTCTTAAATTTCGGGAACCATTTTCAAATTCTTGATCTTGTTAAATTCATGAAAAAATTCTCAAATTTGTAAAATGTATTCTAATTCATGAAATTTTAAAATCCATGAACATTTTTCAAATTTGGAATATATTTTGGAATCAATGAACTTTTTGTCAAATTCTCAAACATTGTGCAAACAAATTTTAACATTTCATGAACAAATTATTTACACTCTGAGATATTATCCATATACCTGAATCTCTACTCCTAATGTCTCACTTGGTAGGCTAGCATCCACATATTTTTTCGTCTTCCCTCTCCCTACGCACGCACTCAAAAAAAACCACCCCGCACAAAAGATAAAACCTATACAACTCCGCTACTCTCGATCCTCTCGAAGAACTCCCAGAATAGCCGCCGCCAATGTACGATCTTCCTGACGCAACTGCACGAGATCGCCGCCGCCAACCTCACAGAGTAGACGCCGCGGACCTCACAGAGAAGATGCCGCCGGCGACGTCCGGGATCGACGTCTCTCGCTGCTGCCGACGTACGGGATCACCGCCACCGACCTCCGAGATCGGCGTGTCTCACTGCGCCGCGGACGTAAGGGGTCACCGCCGCCACCTGCGCTAAACCCAGGCAGGGCGGTTTCTATTGGGAAATGTTGCATGGAAAACAAAAAAATTATACGCACACGCAATGATCTATTCATGGAGATGCATATCAATGAGGGTGAGAGTGTGTTTGTCAGGACCCCGATTGCAAGTCACATCGATCTAGCCGGTAACACCTCATATCACTTTGCGGCCTCAAGCACGGTATTCCCACGGGTGTTGCCTTACCATGGCCCGGGACCGTTTGCGCCTTTTGGCTCACGTATATGATAGTGTCGCTAGCATCAGTATGACAGAGAACCCGGGCCGACATGACTAGTCGTGAACCCAAAGTGGCACTAACTTACAGGGACACACATACATGAATCAACGTCGAGCATGTCGGTCAGCAGCGTGCGAATCCGGGCTGTGGCACTGGACTAACAGGAGAACCGGGCTGTAGCAGGCTAGGCAGGACTCCGGATGTCACCGCGTGACACTTCCCTGAAGGGACAGACACAGGAACGAAGTGAATCACATGCCGGCCAGTCAAGTGTTCCGGAGCAGTAGTGCTGGGCTAGCAGGACTCCGGTGAACCGGGCTGTAGCGGACTACTATGGCTCATGGAAGCACAAGACTACATTTCCCCATAAGAGAGGCTACCAAGGATAAACAACTAGGTTGTCGGATCCCACACATACCAAGCATTTCAGTCATACACACAATATGCTGGATATGTGTAAATACAACATGGCATCACAACAAAGCTCTACGAGTCAAAGTATTTATTCAAAAGGCTCCGAGGAGCGAGATATTACAAACATGGGTCTCATGACCCAACAATCATAGCATACAAATCAAAGCACATGCGAAAGTTTAACATGTCTAGGTACAAACATCTACAAATGAAAAAGGCTAAGAAGCCTGACTATCTACAAGACACTGCCGAGGGCACAAGATCGTAGCTGAGGTATCAAGCTAAACGTCAAAGTCCACACAGAACTAATAGCGAGACTGACGTCTCTCTGCAAAACATAAAATAGGCAAATGTGAGTACAAATGTATCCAGCAAGACTTACATCAGAACTAACTACATATGCATCGGTATGAACAAAGGGGTAGTGGAGTTTAACTGCAGCAAGCCAGCTTTGACTCGGTGGCTATTTTAAACTACGACTGCAAGTAACTCTTTTGAGGTGGCGCACACGAGTCCACATATTCACCATATATTCACCATATCAATACACCACTATGGATCCGCTCCCGTCTCCCTACGAGAACGCCATTCATAGCACTCACGCTTATCTTGCACATTTTAGAGTATCCACTTTCACTTGTCTATGAACTATGCAAGGGGTCCAAGTTTCCATATCCGAGGAATCCGGCTATTCGAATAGATAATGATAACCCTGCAGGGGTGTACTTCTTCACACATGCTCTCACCACTTATCCCATATACACATCATGTATCTCGGCAACCTTCAAGCGAAAGCCTAGCGAGGGTGTCGGCCATGACCTGACTAACCACACAAGTCTCTAGTCCAGGTTTATCGCCTATTCGAGTTCCATCCGCGAGGAGATCCGGCCAGAGTTTCGCTCACAACCCCAAACGATGTGTGCAGGGTTCCCGAGACACCAAACGGGCGCCCGGTACACCATGCCATGGTGTATCTACCGCATCATAGCCCACCCCTAGGGTCAGTGCTACGCACGGCCGCCAACACATATCCTATAAACACTAGAAACTAGTTGCAACTCCTGGACAGAGGACTGTTGGGGAACGTTGCAGAAAACAAAAAAATTTCTACGGTTTCACCAAGATCCATCTATGAGTTCATCTAGCAACGAGTGATCGGATTGCATCTACATACCTTTGTAGATCACGCGCGGAAGCGTTCAAAGAACAGGGATGAGGAAGTCGTACTCGACGTGATCCAAATCACCGGAGATCCTAGCGCTGAACGGACGACACCTCCGCGTTCAACACACGTACGGTCAGCGTGACGTCTCCTCCTTCTTGATCCAGCAAGGGGGAAGGAGAGGTTGATGAAGATCCAGCAGCACGACGGCGTGGTGGTGAATGTAGGGGTCACCACAGCAGGGCTTCGCCGTTCTACTACGAGAGGGAGAGGTGTTGCAGGGGAGAGGGAGGCGCCAAGACTCAAGGGTGCGGCTGCCCCCTCCCTCCCCCCTTTATATAGGCCCCCTAGGGGGTGCGCCGGCCCTAGGAGATGGGATCTCCTAGGGGGGCAGCAGCCAAGGGGTGGAGTGCCCCCCAAGCCAGGTGGGGCGCCCCCCAAGCCAGGTGGGGCGCCCCCCCACCCTAGGGTTCCCAACCCTAGGCGCATGGGGTGGGCCAAGGGGGGGCGCACCAGCCCACTATGGGCTGGTTCCCCTCCCCACTTTGGCCCATGGGGCCCTCCGGGATGGGTGGCCCCACCCGGTGGACCCCCGGGACCCTTCCGCTGGTCCCGGTACAATACTGGTGACCCCCGAAACTCTCCCGATGGCCGAAACTGCACTTCCTATATATAATTCTTCACCTCCGGACCATTCCGAAACTCCTCGTGACGTCCAGGATCTCATCCGGGACTCCGAACAACTTTCGGGTTACTGCATATTCATATCTCTACAACCCTAGCGTCACCGAACCTTAAGTGTATAGACCCTACGGGTTC